AAGATCGAGGTCGGCCCACCTTCTCCAGGTAGTTGGTGGCCTCTGTGAAGGTGACACGTGCAAAGGGCTGCGGCAGCATTCGTCGGAGTTTAGCGGTATGTTCAGCAGTAGAGCTGTTGAGCGACTCGCTCAAGTAGGAGAGTACCAGGCCCAGGTCTGTCTGTATAAAGGAGAGGAAACGCAGTCTTAAAATAATTTTTCGAAGGCATAAAGTTCCGTTAAACAAAATGAGCTTGCCCCGTGGCAGCTTTTCGTTGGGACAATAGTGACGTGACGTATCCACAGTCTAATCCATCAGCAAAGGCAGATTCAGATAGGGTAGGGAGCTGCACAGTATTTATTAGGTGCTTCGAACGCTGAAACAAGCTTATTGGTCTGACGTTTCAGATTCTAACTCGAACCCTTCCTCCGACACAGTGGCAGAAGGGGGTCGGCAACATATGCATATCCCTTTGCTTAACATAATTTACTAGAAAATGAGTACAACAAGGGATATTGTCTGCAAGCATTCCAATAGGTATGCTTGTATTTATTAGGGTGCCCAAAAGTTTACACTTCAATGAATGACCGAGCCCAGGAAGTGTTCACCGAATTTCTGAAGAGGGTAGATTACTTAAGCGGGTTTGTACTATTGATCACCGTGCGCAGTTATTCTATCATTTTTACAGAATCCGTACTCGGTGCAAAACGACTACGTAAGTTTTAAGCGTTTTCTTCTACTAATTTTCGATGCCCTTATAGATTGGAATATATTTTATACAAACAACGCTCACAGGATAGCGATTCACGGTCTGTTAAAATTCTGTACTTGCAGAAAGCTTACCTTAGGGGTTTAAAAGTCTTTTTGTGACGCGGTTTTTAAGACCACATAAAAAAATATTTTTCTGTACACCTTCGGTAATAAGTTAGGCTCCCTTCAAGTTATGCGCTAGTAGAAAGGGTGTCTTCGGGGGTTTTCAAAAAATTTATAATAATATTGTGGTGGTCGTTGCCGGCCGACGCCCTCCATTGCTTTATCCGCCGTCATTGTTCAAGGCCAGCTGTCTCAAGGCCATCTACTACCCCAGACAGCGCATACAGACACGCTGACCTGCAGAGACTTGACCTACTCCCACTCGGACACACACACGTGCGTCTAAGTTCTCGCGGCTGCCCAAGCACCA